CTCTCAGCTCCTGTACAAATGTCTGACAGCCCGCACAGTAAAAAGAGCCCATGAGATAGGGAAATGTCAGGTCAGTTGACATATGGGTCAGAGGGAGAAAGAGGGAAAACGAGTGGGAGATGTGTGAGCTCTGCTGTGGGAAACTGCAATAAATACCACAGAAAGGAAATTGCAGTTCGTCCCTGTTAACACACAGACATGTCATGGGAATCATTTGGAAATTGAGAGCATGCTAATCTGTGGATAAGAGACAGGTTTTTGTGTCCACATTACCTCAGATGCTCGTCAAAATTTTACATCAGAGGTAAAGATATTAAAATGATGGTTGCTGGCAATAATATTTTAGTGAATTTATTTGCCTGTACTGTACCATCTCTATGGAGAATTTGTTGTTATAGTAGATACATCACGTCAACACACTCTGCCTTGTATAGAGGCACATTATACTGCATATTTTTCAATTATCAGGTAGTGTGGGATTATTCACTCTCACATTCGCCACTGGGACCTTCAGGTATGTATACTCTTATTTAAACTTATTCCAGCCTCTTAAATGCTATGATTCTTCTAAATATCTATAAACCTAAAATCATCTAATTCAAAATATTACTTTCAAACTATTTGTACTCTTATGTTTTTCCTGTATTTGGCTCTGCAAAGGGAAATCCATGTGGTGTTAAACAGTGCACACTCTTGAATATAAACTGGTCCGATGCTGCTACCTTGTGGCTTCATCAAGGTATTGGTTAATTCTTGTCTCCATCTGAGTGGATTGCAGTGCACTCACTAGAAATTCTGCATTACCATGAGTGTGTGGAGTTACAGTGCAGGATACAGGAGCTGTCAGTGCTTTAAAGACATGCAGTTACCACAAGTAAATTGCATGTCTATTTTTTGCCTCAAAACTGTTTGTATGATCAAATCTTCATTCTGTGAGAAATCTGATCACCAGTTTGTAGAAGTACAGATGAGGAGAGGAAAGCTGGGATGCTATAATTGAACATTTCTTTTCACATGTGCAACTGTGCGTCCATGAAAAATTGGAATACATTGTTGTGCTATATTGTTAGAGAACCACACACACAAACTGTGATAGACAACACATGTACAGAGTATTTTGTACCTGCTTTGATGTACATCTAGATAATCCGAATACATTTTAGGCCTGGACTCTGCCTCTCTCGTTTCTCCACACTCTTACCTGAGCGCAAAAATAGAGTCCTGATCCAACACCCTAAAGCAACTGCTGCCACATCTGGATCCACAAAATGCACACCTCACTGCTGCTCAGTGAGGGCACACTGAGTGCACATGCACAGAGTATGATCAAGCAGGAGGAGACAGGGGAAAACATGCACAGAGGCATGGCCTTTTTTTTTCTTTTTTTTACAACTATCATGACTGCCTTTAGAATGATTCACTAACAGGGCGCCCAGTAGCTAAGTGTTTAGAGTGGCCGTCCTGTGTTTAAAGGCAATGTTCTTGTCACAGAGGCCAGGGTTTTGATACCAGCCCGTGGCCCTTTGCTGCATGTCACCACCTTTCTTGCATAACTTGTCCTGTCAGAAAAAAAATCTTAACAAAAAACAAAGATGTCCTACCATGTACATACATTCACACATGGCCCAATACTGTTTCATCCTTGCAACCATGAACAGCATCCCACAGCCAAACACTCCAAACTGCTAACATGTCATCCTGGCAACCACTTGACTTGACTCGACTTGCCGCGTCGCCGCCCTTGAAAAAGCGCTATTTTGTACTTCCTAGCCTAGCTGACTGGAGTGTGCGGTTGACGCCACGCAGCGCGACCGAGCGCGACGCTTTTTATGTGTGTTGGGGGCGGCACTTGACTAGCGTGAATGACGCCGCCGTCATATGACGCCGCCGGTGTGTTTGGCCTGAAGCAGAAAAGAGACAAAACACAAGACAATTATAAAAGAACCAACTGTCAGTGGACACCGCAGTGGGTGCAACAAGCATTAACCTTTCATTGCTATTTTGTTACTAAGGGAAAAGCCTTTGTCCCTGTTTATCTTTTGTCAGCTACTTATCCCCCACTTTTTTATAGTTCATATAACGAGGTACAAACACATTTCTGTCAGCTACTGCATTTTAGGGGGATAAGTAAATATGAATATCGCAATTTTATGTGTTGAAATACTTTTTTGATTCTCAAAAACACTATTAATTCTTTAAAATGTACTTTTTCATTTTCTGAATTAATTTACATAATTTTTTTTTTTATTTATTCATTTTAAATTGAAAAAAATGTATGGTTGATAGACTTTTCCCACAATGGACATTCTGACATGTCATAGTCTGAAAAGCACTGGTGAAACTGATGACATTAATGACAGCTCAGGGTCATTAAGTGTCCATTATCTATTCCAGTGAGCCAGCATATCTCCCTAAATGGAACGCAGTTATCATTAATGCTTTTCAACACACCAATGACAGTCAACATGGATGCTGTCAAAAAGGCCAACTGTATGATAAGCCATGAAAAATACAAACAACCCCACATGAGAGATGCTGCCAGGCTGACAGTGAGTGGGGAGACAGGCAAGACATTTAAGAAAACTGAAAATGCACCAATAATCATAATACACAGTATTAATTAACAAGCTAGCCAACATTCATTCATAAACTAGCAAGCTAACTAGGAAGCTAACTCGCTAGCATTGGCTCCAGTGTGACTGTACCCTAAATGTTAAAACTTGTGCCAATATGGGTAATTTTGGGATACCATGAGCGCCATAGCATATTTCATTCAGTGATATGGGACACCGACATGTAAAACAGAAGACATGAAAAAAAAACAAAGTGCTAGCTGCCATTAATGTTAACTTACCTTTGAAGCAGCGGGAAGGTCCGAATACCTGTCCATCTTCCTTTGGTCTGTAAGGGTCCACCACCAACAAAACCAAAGCTGCTTGTCATTAAAATAGTCCAAGTTGTGAATAACTGTCCTGTTAAATCCACTGCTAACTAAGTCTGCTAATTTCGTATGTCAGATGCAGTTCCTCCAACAAGTTTCACACGTCTTCTCAGGGCCAACCACTGCGGCCCAAGAAACCAAAATGGCGGCGGCCGAAATTCCGAACTTCAGGGTTTAAAACGGCAGGCCACAAATCTACGGGTGACGTCACAGGTGTACCGTTGATGATATCATTCTCGTTCACCTGATAAAGCGCGCGCCCAAGCATGTGCACGGGTTCAAATGCTCTGTAATTTAATTATTCCTAGTCAAAATAAACATTTTAAATATTCATAACGTCATTCTTCATAGGACAAATGACGTCACGTTTGCCATTCATGTGTATTGGGCTTTCAATTTTAGATATTTATGTCATTTCAGTCATCAGAATTCAGATATCCAAAATGAAAAACACGTTTCAGACATCCATATTTAAGTTTTTAATATCCAAAATACATTTTGACTTGTAAAAATGTCATTATGGATACCCACAATTGGCATTATCACAAGTAACAATGCAATTCCAGATATCTACAAATATAATTTTGACTAGTCTTTTGCCCCATTAAAATGATGTTTTATATTTAAAAATGAGAAAAATAAAATGTCATAACTACTTTTCAGACTGAGGAGCTGTTCATATCATCTGTTCCATTAGGACATTCATAGTGGTCTGAACTGTGGAATATGAGGCTATTCTGCCCTCTGCTGGTGAATATGGGAAACTGGATTATGCTGTATATGACGGCAGGTCAGATGAGTTTCAGAAGTGTTTAATATTAAGAAAAACATGCATGATAACATAAGTACATTGCTTAAAATATATGAATAAGTCGTGAAATAATTTAAGAAATTATATAAACTAAATCTCATTGTTATGAAATGTAATTATTCATTCTTTTTTTCATAAGAGTTTTTACAACTTAAAAATGCCCTTTTAAAAAAATAAAAAAAATTGCATTTTATAGACATTTTCCCAGTAATGCTTTTATTTAATGCTATTTTCTTCCCATTTCATGATGTTGCTCTTCATGACAGTGCTGCTATCCTTTCCAAATGCCCCCAGCCTGTGTGACTGTATGTTTATTCACAGCAGCAGCTAGTTGGTTGAACCAGGACTACTGACATTATTGTAGCTCTAAGAGCTAAGGGACTGTTCTTTACTTATCAGAGGAGTGGGATGGTTGGGGTGTTGGTAGATTTTAAAAACTTACCCTTTGATGTCAGGAAGTTCAAAGCTGAAGAGGAAATCCTGGTTAATGAGTGCAAACTGTTAAAGTAGCAGAAGAATAAAGTATTTGTTTGATGAAATATCACAATTTTAAATTAGATTTGGTTGTGTTTTAGTCTGTCATGGAAGCCTTCGTCCCACATAATGTGTTCAAAGACCGTCGGAAATTTGAAAATCTTACGATAATTTCTGTTTTTACAGTTTCCGACTGTGATAAATGGTGCAATTTTTTAAACGGTTTGAAGAAAACATGGTTCCTTCTTTTTGGAAGGCATGTTTTCTTTAAAAATCGACAGTAAAATTAATACAAAATGCTGCCATTTAAAGTTGTATGCCTTGCCCCTGCCGAGCCAAAATAAAAAACACAAGTCCCTCCCCAGTGCTTTGACATTTTTGCACCTCTCCCCTCTCATAAGTAATCAACAGTCCCTAACTGGCTAATTTTGGTGGCATTTGCTGAGCTTGCTAGCTTACCAGAGGCAGGGAGCATGTGACTGGTTGAGAGGTAAGTGGGCAGTGACATCACCACTGTCATTAAAAGTTACATAATTATATTAGTGTCATTGGGGAAAATTCCATTATGAAATAAAAGCAAACTAAAAATAAAAATATATATAATTTAATTAAAATCATATTTTTAAAAAAAAGGAAATAATTATATATTATACACAGTTTATTCATGTGATCATTTATTTCATTTTGTCTTTTTTAAATGTATCTAACATTGAACACTTCAGGGTTTTATTATCAGTGTCAAAGACAGTGAAAAAAGCACAAACACCAGTAATGTTTAACATAATTTATATTTATTTTCTTTTGAACAAAATGTTAATAAATGTATTTGTTTCACGTCCAAAAAAGATCATGACTCGTGGGACGCATTTTATAAATAATTTCATCCAAGTCTTTTGTAGAAAAAAAAGAAAGTAAATTAGCAAACTAAAGCATCTCTAGTATGACAATATGACAACTTTATCATAATTTTTTTCTCTATATTTGAACCCTTTCTCAAGTCAAGCTTCATTTTTTTGTATATTTTTCTCAAGACCTCTTCATCTCGTCTTTTTAACATCCAACTTAGTCCTACTCATCAACTCACACCACTGCTTTAGACAACAGAAAAATGCGGCAAAAATCTCAAAAAACAGACAAAAACCAAGGAGGCGAACAGAAAACACAGTGAGATTCCAACAGTGGGGGAGTGGGCAGGGGAGGGCTGGGAAGGTGGGGACGGGAGGGCGGCCATTTTGGGATCCCACATCCTCAGGACATATTTACAACAGAAAGGACAAGGGGGGTTGGTGGTGGTGGTGGTCAGGGAGGGTAGGTGGGGGTCAGTTTTGGGGTGGGGTTCATCTGCATAGATCCACAGGACTCAGATCGTGAACAGCTAGAGATTGAAAGGGACGGAGCACAAAGTGTGGGCCTATTACATCCGCTGCTGTCTTCAAGGGAATGTAGTTCTCGTCGTCACAGTTTGTCAAGGAAAACAAACAAACGAAACAACACGTCACAGGAGAATATCAAGCAAAAAGGGATCAGAGAGTAAACTGGGGTCAGGGGCTAAAGTCGATGAAAATCCAGAGGCGAGTGTAGACTCCCACATGACATCCCACTCTGATGTGTATGTGAAGAGCAAACCGATGGTCGGCGTGTGATGTGAGGCGAGGTAAGGTCAAGCTGTTAATGGGGAAGGGGAGGGACCTATACCATGTTTTCACAGCCAACAATTTGGAGGTGAAACTCGGATCATTTGAGGCAACCAGGATGGAGGACAGAAAGCTGCTTCGTTAAAGAGATTTGAATTTTTGGTATATCACTAGTTGCTCATGGTATCAGATTTTATTTTGGAATAATCTCTTTTTCCCGCCCGATCTCACTGCATTCCTAGTTCAAAAGGGGGAGTTTAAAGTATTCTTAATCCCTGCGTGACCTGTCCTCGTGTCAGTGTGCACTTAACCGGCAGCAGCCATGCAAAAAAAAAAAGAAAGAAAAACGAAAAATTGGATGGATCAGCCCTTGAAAACTCCTCACACTCCTCGCACGCTGACACTAACACAGCCCTTTGCTAGTCTGTGAGAGATAGCGGTTGATCAGCTCGTCTAAGGGTATTTAAGAGTCGACGGACTGATTGATTGATTGATTGATTGGCTGGCTGGTCACTTGCACCTACTCTACGATACAGAAAAGCTGAGGCGACAGTAGTGTGAAGATGCCACAAAGTAGGACACTAACACCGTCTGTTTTTTATTTTTTCTTCTTTTTTTTTCTATATTGCTCCATTGCCAGTATCTGCCTCACTGGGCGTACGCAGCAGAGAGGCACTCAAAGATCTGGGGCCTCATTTATCAAAGCAAGCGTAGGGCAAGTTCTCGTTCTGTGCGTAGGAACTGTCTATAAAGAAGAGAAAGGAGAAAGAGGGCAACACATCTGTGGACATGAGTCTGTGTTCCTGCATTTCAGCTGGTCTTATTTTATGTTACACAGTGTTCTACGATGTTACCACTATTTTCACGATTCATTTGTTGTCTTGGAACTATTGCATCAAGGCTTTTTTCTACTGACTTTTGACAACTGAAGAGACAATCGCTGATTGTTTTTCCCTGCAGATATTTAAGAACTTCATTATACAAAATAAAATCTGCTCCCTACTGTGCATTTATAGATGTTTCTTGTGGAGTGAGCCATGCATGACCCTGACACCTTTCCCAACTGCAACATCTCTACCCACTGAGTTTATTTCATATGTTTCTGGGTTTGTCTCAGCAAAAATACAACAACACTACTTTTTGTGTGTTGTAATTAGAGAGAGGGAGAGAGAGAGAGAGAGAGAGAGAGAGAGAGAGAGAGAGAGAGAAGGAGGGAGGGAGACAGTGGCACCCCCCAGTGTGGGGTCAGGAAGGGCCATAACCTCCTTGATACAATTGCTGGCCCCAACTCGGAGGCCAACATTACTGTCTTTAAGAGGCTATGATGTTCTCATTTTTTAAGCTAGCTCAAAGGTAGTGGTATCTTGTCAAACTAGACATCCAAAAGTGGGTTGGTACCAACCATGTTGGCATAGCTTGTCAGGAAGGGGGCTAAATATTGCTTAAAATTTAGGCTAAGTTTTGGCAAGGGAACATCTGGCATGGCCATTTTTAAAGGGGTCTCTGGAACTTTTGCTTTAAGATATCTGAAGGAAAATGGGTTCTGTGGGTACCAATGAGTCTCCCCTGTACTTAAGAGGACTTCTCTGTAGAGGTAAAGGTTCCTTGCAATCAATGGTCCCTTCAATTTAAAGCTGTATATTTGTCTTTTTAAAGAAAAGGACAACCAGCCTATCTGAAGAACAATGAATCACCTGACATGTATAGATACATAAGACATCAAAATAGGATTGTTGTGGAACTCAAAATATTAACTGTGCTGGTATAAGTCTATGCACATCAGATAATTAGTAATATTAACTGTAAAATCAGAAACCAGAGTATATCCAATTCCTAAAATTCAGTTATGGCTTTTGGTTTTGGTGCCACCCCAAGATTTCCGTGGCCCAATCTGGCTGCCCCTATGAAAAATTTCTGGGGATGCCACTGGAGGGAGACAATCTCGTTCAGCCCCTCCTGCTCTCTGTGAATACTATTTTTTAATGCAGCCCAATTCAAAATATAGTTATCATTTACATGCTTTTCACTTCCTGTTGTCAGATGTCACAGCAAGTGTGAAATTTGGTCATGGCTCATAAACACTACTTTAACCAGCTGGGAAAGTTTTCCAGCCATTACTAAAGAATGTGGTTGAAGCCTAAATTATTCAAACACTTAGCCTCCTCCTGATCTAACAATGTGGGTGATGGTGGCATAGGTGGAGGTCAACAGTCTGGTAGCTCCTATGCTCTGTATTGCCCTGTATTTGCTAAGTTAAGTCCACTTTTGAGTGATCCAATCACATCTTTCGGATTTGATTTCAACCCCTCTCATAACAAAACTGAAACTAAAGACGGTCTAAGTTTTGTTTTACTGTGACGTTAATGTTACTCTCCTCTGAAAGATTTCAAAAGAAAAACAGAGAAGCACAAAAAGAAACTGCTAAGTTGGATTCTGTGTGAAGAAACGAGCGTACGCGCAGTTGATAAATGAGGCCCCTGGTGTTTTGGCATCATGCAACTGTCCTCTAGTGTTCCTGGGTTGTCCCTGCAGTCTCATGTACGACTACTCTAAATACTTTCTGTGTCTGCAACACCGACACTACCGTCTGAGGTAAACTGAACACTTGAGAAATCAGAGAACACCACTTTCCCGTCCAGGAGCACTGTTTAGTGATGAGGTTCAGCGTTAACTCCTATAATCATCAGCTGAACCGTCACTACCTTTCCCACTTGGTCACTCCTAACTTGCTCAATGGCCCAACAAGTTAGCAGAGAAAGCGAGCCAGTCTCAGAGCACTTAAGGTCCTAAAACGTGTAGGCATGTACTGTCGTAAGGGGTTGAGAAAAAGGTCTAGTGGGACAAAATACAAGCTGAACATTAGAATATAGAAGAATCACATACATTTTGTTTTCAGAGAAACAAGACCCACATGAATGATGGATGAGCTGGTCCTGACAGGCCCTCGAGCAACATCACATACAAGGTAGTAAGAAGATGCCTCTAAGGTGATGGAGAAGAGGAAGTGGAACACAGTTGATATGTCAAAACATTCTGGCACCTGAAAGAAATGCAGCAAAAATCTAAAGGTAATGATGAGTGACAGCGCACACTTCATCAATGTCCATTTTTCCCCTGACGTGCCATCCATACACACTGAAAACGCCAGGAAGGGAGGGGAGGGATGGGAGGAAGGGAGGGGAGGAGAGGAGGGACAATATGCTAGAAAACATTTGGATGGAATAGAAACAAATGAGCAGGTTTCAAGTGGCAAGAGGTCAGTTCTTTAGGGGGGTGGTTCTCAAACATCTCGGTTCGGTCGATGTCCAATCCCAGCACCCTTAGCTCCAGTTAAAACCCTCCCACTTCCTGTAGTTGATGGTTCATCAGCGGCAGATTGTAGAAGCATCTCCAGCATGTCTCGCCAGATGTGTCCCTGGCAGCCATGACATTGTAAAAGCCATAATCCTCTCGAGCAAGCACCAGAGTCGACCCCCAAGGTTCACTCCTCATTAGAAGCACTCTCCTCTGGCGAGAAAATGGCAGCCACGCCCACCAACGTCGAATTATGGGAGGCTGAAATGATGATGACAGTGTGTAGGAGGACGAGGGCCAACAGGCAGATCTTCAGTCGCCCGCTGCACAGTCTCGGGGTGGCAGCGGAGGTGACCGAGGCCCCCTCGGGCTGGCAGGAAGAAGCAGTCCTTTTAAGTGTCCCGCCTGAAGGGTTGTCCATTTTGGAGTCCCATCGGACGTCGCAGCACTCCGCCTCATTGTCTGATAGGTGATCTCCCAAGAGCCCTGAGAAAGAGATGGCAGGAGAAAAATTTCTATGACTATTTATATTAATATTATATATGATTTGTTTAATTAAGGTTCAGTTAAAGGCCAATGTCAGCTGGATACAGTACAGGTATGATCTGCTACAGCCTGTCTTCAGGAGAAATGTTAGGAGTAAATGGAAGTAGGGCGTCTGAATAAAGCCTGAAAACTGCTCTAGTTCAGTTAAAAACAGCATCTGTTAATACCAACAATCTCTTTTGTATTAAACAGTTTAATTACAGTGCAGCTATGCTTTTCTCATCAACTTCCTTTTGGACATCTTTCAGCTCTGTAAACAGTCCGAGCACTGGAGACATCAGTTTGCAGCTCCGATCACGATGCGGAGGAGCAGACACAGTGACCCTCAGCTGAACTCAAATTAAAGTCCACGACCACACCAAGGGTGACGCACCGCTGCATCAGTTGATGACTCTGGAAGTCTTAACTTGCCAGAGTGTTAAAGGAGCTGTCACTCCTCTCACCTGCACAGGGGAAACTAGACTGCTGAGGGCAAACTTCACTTAGTTCTTACCCACTGAAACACAGGGGGTGGAGGGATGATGAGAGCAGACGTAGGACTGGCTAATCTGATATGAAAAATGCTTACTTCTAAATTAAAAACATTAAAGGTTATCAAAAGGATGGACCAAATAGCATCTCTCTGGCTTCCCTGAGGGTTGTGTCCCACCTGTGAGACGGGGCGGAGCCACGTGTTGTAAACATACAGGGCTCAGCCTCCCATTTACAACAGGTGTATGCATTTTTCTTCCAATCCATTTGAGATACTATGCCTACATCTTCTGGGAAAAACATGATATTTACCAAGAAAAAAATATCCCGTAGAGCCTACAGCTTATTTTGCATCTAATTGTTCTCCAACTGTCTTCATCATTCTGAAACACAACAGATGTTGAGAGTGACTACAGCCCTGTCTACAGGTTTACAGATCATTTTACAAACTCATCTGCATGTTTTAGGTCACTGAAAGAGTGATATTTTAATACACCTTCTAAAGTGCAGATTTTTTAAAACTCTGGTTACTGTGCATCTGTGTGGACGTGTAAAACAGAGCGTTTGCTAATCAATTACATCATCTCCTCAATTTGAGCATGCATTTTTGTGATGAGCATATGCTAGAAACAACAACAATGACAAAGTACCGGTTTGCCAACGTTTATTTAACACTGTTTGGTCTCATGTATACTTTATTCCTGAATTTGGCATTGCTGCACCAATTCACAGTCAAAGGGAGGCATCTTTTGCACCCAATGTTTTTGCTCCACCTCAGTGTCTGCCAGAAAGTGAACCAGCAGATAGTGGGACAATTTTCAGAGTGTGATTCCTGTCGACGAAAAATGGAGGGAAAAGTTTTCCATATTTAGAGCATCACTCGTGTGTTTGACTGAGCTCATCCTTAAATTGAAAGGGAATCAATGAGATCTCCAGTAGCTGTTAGCCTGTACACTTTACTGTACGTGCGTTTTGGGTGGTTTTGTGCTCTAGTGTGGACAGAGATACTTTGTAAAATGAAGATTTTAAAACGGAGGGAAAAAATATCTGTTTTCAAAAATATGTATACAAGGCCATCTACCTAAAAAGTGGCAGAAATTGTATGATGTTATTGAATTCAAGTTACATAACAGGTAGGGAATGAATTTGGCATTTCTAATAGAGAGAACAGAACTTTTGCTCTATTGATTTGCTGCTCCAGTCAGAGAGACTGAGGGGAAATGACACACAGGTATCAGATTTGAGGCTTTTGAGAGAACATTTGGATCTGGAGCGCCAGAAGCCTGCCAAATTATTGATTTGTAATTTAATTTAGCTTTCAAATAAAGTTCTTTTTCCCCAAAAAATGAAAATATGTCTGGAAATACACAGTGACATGAATCTAACATATTATTAACAAAGATAAATTGGCCTATTCATTTTTTAAAAAGCATTTAATTTACAGTACAGAACACTTATGACACCCATGAAACCTTGTGCAGTCATGCGAGCTAGCTAATGTACATAACAGCAAGGTGAAATAGCAAGCAGTTATGTACTATTGAAACATATTGGCCAATTATATGTATTATTATTTAAAGTGTACGGGCATTCTTGTGAGCAACAATAGATCATTTTGTATGAATCTGCCAATAATTATTATTTCAATAGTTTAGTATTGTATGCACCATAAAAGGGTATGTTTATACATGGCCGCCCTACATGTTGTTGTAGGCTCAGTTTAATGTGAAACTCAACAGGGGGTCCCTGCTCTGTCTCTCTTTCAGCTAAGGGGTCCTTCGCCTGGAGAACATTGAAGACCCCTGCTCTAATTTATTAGTGGCATAATAACTTCCACAGAAGCAAGCAACAGGTACATTAGAGGTGGAACATTTTTAGCAAACATTAAAGAATGAATATTCCAGCTACGCTATTGCAGAATACAGCACCATCCCCACTAATAATTTTTCTACAGTCTCTTAGCTCATAGAAAGTTGTTGACCTAACATAATTTCCAGCTCAGCCTGGGCAGAGGATGTCTCACTGGCCAGAATAAGAGCAAACACCAGTGTGTCTGTGTTGATGATGCTGTTATGATGCTCAGATTCCAGATAACTTGTTTGTTGGTCCACAGCCAGCGTCTGGTCCTCTGAGGCAGAGTCCTTGGTGATTACTACTGTATAAACTGCAGTAAATATTGAGAGACAGGCCAAATTAAATTCATCAATGCATTGTTAAAATGTCCTTGTCTGAGCTCGGCTGTGCTCAAACGCGCCACTAGATGTCATCAGAAAGCCTTCAGAAACACCCCTCACCTGTTTTCCTGGAGGAATACCATCCAATAAATATGGAGATACACACTGTGCATGAATTAATACTGTGCATCCTATTCACTGACATAAATTAAATGAGGTTTTCTCCGAGGCAGTGGAGAATGCAAGGCCACACACTCACCCACACATGCAAACATGTCCGCACTAATCTGCTGCTGTTGTAAACAGGAAGTAACACTGGACAGCGAGTGGGTATTAACCTGTGCAGATGAAGCTGGGGCTGCCGCCGTGGATCAGGTCGTCGTTATCGGGCAGGATGAACGGACAGCTCTGCTGGACCTCCAGGCAGTACTGGTGGCACGGTACCTTCCTCTGACAGGACTGCTGGGTGGTGGGGAAATACTGAGCACACAGCCAGGGCTTATAGGCTGTCTGAGGAGAAAGAAGAAGAGAGGATGACATTAATAGATGCTGGATCATGATCCGCTTGAGGACTGGTGGAAGTTGTTTGGCGCTGCTGGGTCTCAGGCCTCCCTCTGTTAATGGTAGATTTGCACCACCTTGTGCTGGAAAGTAATTACCTGTATATTTAAACCACAGAGCATCAGACACAAACACTTTTCAAAAATAGACACCCAGCACTCCATGCATTAATGAAAGCTCAGGATATATTAGCCTAGCAGAGCCTCTGGGATATTGAATCAATCTTATTGCAGAATATTAGCTAACAGAAAGTAAACCATGCCAAATACAGTGTAATGATTTGCTTATTTATGGATTATGAGGGGTTGCTCCAGCAGGTAGTAGATGTATATTAAAGGAACTAACAGTTAATCTGCTGATTATTTTCTCAATTAATCAATGAATGTTCGGTCTACAAAAATGTCAGAATAAGAGCAGAAAATGCCCATCTCCATTTCCCAGAGGCCAAGGTGATGTCTTCAAATGTCTTGTTTTGTGTGACCAACAGTTTAAAACCCAAATATGTTTAATTTACTGTCATATAAGAAAAAGAAAAGCTCTAAGTCCTTGTAATTTTGCTTGAAAAATGACTTAAAATTGTTTCCTATATTGCTGTTGCCCAAAAAAGCCCTCTTTAATTTTGTTTGCTATGTTTGTCCAGGTATAGCAATGCAATTCAAGATCAGGTGGCATCAAATAACGTCATGAAATCAAGTTTTTGTCTCCTCCCGAGTCATATTTGCCGTAGTTCACTGGGAGGCAGAATGTAATACAAAATGCACAGACGTATGTGCATAAGGAGACAGATGGTGACATGTAATAGCCAAAGCCTCAGGCTTGGAAAGCTTAGCAAAACAAAATGAACCAAGGGCAAACCACAGTCTGGATTCATTCTCATTTTTAGCTATCTCGTCATGTGCTTTTTACTGGGATTAACACCAGAGAAGGGAAATTACAGCAAAAAGCACAGAAAATCCATCGTGCAGAGAGTGTTATCGGATTTGTTTAGAACCAACTCATGCTGCAAAAAGCTCTACCAACCTGGTGGGATGAAAGGTCGTCGAAACTGTGTGCGACAAACAGCCTACATGTGAGCCTATACACTACAAGGCCTGCTTTGCTTGTACATGTACAGTGTGAGCTTAAATAAAGTTTATACAAAGGGTTAAAAGCAAAGAAAAACCAACAAACTCTGGGTCCGACAAAAACACTTCATGTGCCAGCAGAATACATCAGAATACATGACCCCTTTTAGTTCACTGGGTGTCTTTACTAAACATAGCCTGATTAAATCTGGATTTTTTTTTTAGGTCAATACTGATAGCAACATTTGAGAGTTAAATAGTCACAGTATACTTTGTTTTTTTTATCATACACACATGACATAAACAAACATGTTTAATAAGGATCCCCTCCATTTTTAATAATAATTTTAAAAATATTAGTAGGGCATTGTACAGTTGAGGATTCAACTTGTCAAAAGTAGTAAAAGTAACTGTTTATAGTTGCTGTTAATACTAATTTTAAACAGAAAACTTCACTGGAAAGTAAATGAACATATAACCCACAATAAAAACAGTAATATATAGCCTTTAGCCTAATATATGTTCATACAAAATGAACTATAAATAAATAATAAATAAATAATAAATTATTAAAAATGCACCTGCATTAGTAGTGGCAAGCCTGTATAATAAAATTACATTGATCTACAATGGTTAAACGAGTCTACAGCCATGCTAGGAGCTCTGTGAGGCTGTATGTATTAACAGTGGTGCTAACATGCTCACAGAAACAAAACAAACATGCTAATATAGCATGTTAGCATGTAAACGTTGGCTAATTGGCAACCGCAAAGTACAGACAGGGGCTGCTAATTAACATATCTGGCTAATTAGCTTTAAACATTTTAGCTAATCAGTACTAAACATTTTAGCTCATCAGCAATAAGCATTACAGCACATTAGCACTAAGAGTTTTAGCTTATTTGCACTAAGCGTTTTAGCTTATTAGCACTAAGCATTTTAGTTCAGCGCTAATTAACCACATTTGATAGAGCTACAGTGTTAGCATGGCTAAAAAGTCATCAATAATATAACTAATTTATCTTTATGTACAAAAATTATCCATCATTTCCCACTATTATGCTACATACAATTTATGCCAACTGATCAAACTCAAATCCCACCTTTGCATTGCTGTATTAAAGTTCGTGGTTACCTATATGTCAGCATTCACGCAGATAATGGCTATCTGTTAATGTCACATGTCCTGTCTCAGTAGCAAATAGCAGTAGCAGTATATAGATGTTGTCAAGGTTTCCAGCGAGTGAACACACACCATTCTGTGTAATCAACCAGTGGAAAGTCATGTGCAAAGCAAAGCAGTGCCGCACCATGTGCAACCCACACAAGGTTACTGTATTGTCAACATCAGCAACTCCAACGGCTTACGTCATCCTATCGGCCGACTGTGTCTCCTGTAATAGGATGGCAACACAGTATGTCACCCATTGTCTTGCAGAAATCAGTGAGCAAGCAAGGGAAGGGTCTGCCCATTATATAATAGGGGAAATGTGGCGCTGTTAAGTGATGAAGGGTGTTAAGAGAGTCATTTGACTACCTGACACATTCAAGCAAAGGGGCTACAACAGCCGCTTCCAAGTCGTGAATCACAGACAAAACAAACCATTAGTGGCAATCAGGTAATTACCAGGTGGGAGAATAATAAAATGTTCAGCATTCAGACAGATTTACACATACAAAAGCATTGTTTTGCAAGAAATATGATCTTGTTTGAAAATGTGGCTATATTTCTTTATGAATTAAATATTCTCAGCTGTATCAAAAACAATCAAAGAGTTGAATACTCAAAAACTGCCTCATCCGGTTTGATCAAATGATCCACTGTCATCAGATAGGAATTCAAATGTTCAGTCTGATTGGTGCCCCATATACATGACATCACATTTTTCCTGCTAAACCTCACCCACTTTAAACCATGTGAGAAAAGAAAGGACAAAAACACACGTCGCTCATGTGAAACAACCAAAACTGCTCAAACTTTGTCAAAAAATATTCTGTACTGTAAATGCAGGACCCCATTGTTCATAGCTTAGACGTTTGACAAAATATTTTTAGGACCTTTAAATTATCATAGAGATACACTCTTTGTCGCGGTGCTCACACGCTATGTCTCACACGCTATGTTTCACAATCAAGTGACTTTGTTTACTTTGTTAGTTTTACATTCCCTGTTTAGCATTTAGCATGTGCAGTGACAGCCACCTACAGAAACATCATCACAAACACTAAACCCAAGGAGAGATGTCACAGCAGAGAACACGCTGCACATAGTTAATTACCCCCTGTGTTATTTAACCACAGAGGAACATCTATGACTCGGAGGTGGGATAGTTAGTTAACTGTCATTGTAGTTTTAAAGTGTCATGGATGTTTGGTTAAATTACACCCAGGACCTGCACAAAGCTTAAAATGTATATCTCATGCCTCACATCTCCCCTGCATTTTCAGATGCTGAAATCACATTGGGGGTCTGATTTGTGTCCTGTTTAGACCGACATACAAAGATAACAAACACTGCACAGGCAATTATAATAATTATAATAATCTGATTATGGTGATGGTGATGAGAATGATAATTATGAGAACACCATGGACCTAGATGCTTTGCAACAGCAAATATATTCCAGACACGTATGACTTCATGTTGATACAGTATCAGTGTGGAATAAACTGAACCGTAGGGGTTAAATCCTCCTAACTGTTTTCCAGGAAATATACTCATCCGTCAAAAAAAGGTCAACACTCTGATTTTAGTACCTAGATGGGAGATCTGTCTCCATTTTGACCCAGGTTATGCTCCTGGTGAGGGTAAAAAATGTTTTCCTGCGGATATTCTGTCTTAATAAACATGTTCATTCAAACCATCCTTTGTATGTTACAGGGTAATTTGAATAAATCACATCGACAGTTTAATTCCCATGTTTCCCTGCTTCTGGCAGCAGTGAACTCATCGTAGTGGGGCTCTATGGCTGAACGCGTAGAGGAAGACCTGGCTCAAGGCCAAGATAAAATCACTCAGATCATTGATTACATTTGTGTTTTAAGAGTTCAGGGTATTCTGTGGAAGTCGGAGGCAATAAATCCTCGGCTGGGGATTTTCAGTGTGGCGACTTCCTGTCTGCACAAATGGGTGTTGTTTAATTCGCGATGATTTAGCATAAATTCTTGCCAGCCGTGAGATAATCTGTCTAGGGATGCTGCGGCTATCAAAAGAGAACCAAAACAATACGATCGCAGTCAGACAGGAAATCTGGGTCCTCCTGAAGATGTATGCTGGCAGTTGCCAAGGTAACGGCTTTTTCTGCTTTTCATTAGAGCTCAATGGGTACTGCCCCACTCTCTGTTGGTTTTCTGTTTGTGTGCACATGTTTAAGCGTGCAACCAGGTCTGTGTGTGTGTGTGTGTGTGTGTGTGTGTGTGTGTGTGTAAATGTGTGCGTGCGTGTGCTCAGCGTGAAAAGGGAAGCGTATGAGAGCAAATTGAGTTAGTCAGGAAGCAGGCCTGGAGTCTGATTTGATCAGTCTAATGTGTGATCAGTGTGAATGGGAACCTGGCACTCAAAAAGCCTCTGTCGCCATGCAGCTTAGTCTGCTTCAAACAATGTACTGAAGCCCAGAGACACAGACAGGAAAGACACCAAGCTGCCGACCATTTCCACCGAGGCTTAATGCCTGCAGCTGATTTCAGCCCCAGCCTGGCCATTTGTACACACAGCGCTTCACCCCCCTTTAGGTGTTACATCTGCCAACGCTTCAAATCATAGCTTTCAAAGATGAAATCAATGTGATGCTGATGTTTTGAAATTTACATTACTGCAGAGATATAAAATACGCCAATAAGACACTTTCTGACAGTGCTTACATGCAAATCTTTTGAAGCCTAAAA